AATCCTATTTAGCAAGAGCTATTGATACTAGAGTTGAATGGTCATAGTAGACCTTTCTGAGATATTTCAGGCCCTGTGCAAAACAAAGGTACAAAGTAGGTCAAGAAATAAGGGAGAACACCTAATTCATAGGAGAGACAGAGAGCAATACAGGTGAGTCCTAGAGTCTCTTTGGCACCTGTCCTTTCTGGGGACTACTTATTCATCTTTTTCTGGAATCCCTCTATATTTATAATACCCTCCCCCACTGTACTTGAGTGACTATGTCTGGGTTTCTGTTTCTTAAAATAAAATAACTAAAACAGAAGGAATTCCTAAAGATATTAACTTACTTTTTCTCTTAAAACTTCAGAGCAAAGTTATTTTTTAGCCTGTAGGATTTCATAAACACATTTACCTGAAGACAATAAAGATAATTTCATCCTTTAACTCTTTGTTCCTTTTTCCCTTCAACAGATATATTTTGCGTGTCTCCAAGCTGACTAGGTATACAGCAGTGCACAAAGGAGACACAACTTCTCTTTTCGGAAATTTACAATCAAGTGGAAGAAACAGGCATTTGAAAAGTAATACACAGGGTGTGAGCAGCGAAAGTAAAAGAAAGGACCTACTTAGGAGTGGGTGATGATTAGAGAAAGCTTCTTAGGAGTAACACTGAGCCTTAGACTTGAAAGAGCCAAGCAAAGAGTGAAGAATCATTCCAGGCAGAAGGGGAAGAAGATACAAGCGTTCCCAACCTGAACAGATCTTAAGTGTTCCAGAAAGTAAAAGAGGGCCAGTGTTGAAGTACAGTGAGGAAGAGGAAGACTACGGTACCAGTGGGCAGGAAGGAAGGTCAAGATTACAGGCAAGGGAGACGACGTGAGCTTTTTTAGTGGGAAACCTCCGGAGAGTTCTCAGCAGGGAGTGACAGATCTGATACATGTTTTAGAAAAGTCTCTCTAGATGCGATGGAGAATGGGATGAAAGAGACTGGGTGTCAGTTAGGAAGACCAGGTGGGAGGTTACCAAACAGGATATGATACTGGCTTGGAGGCAGAAAAAGGGTTTCAAGACCTTAAAGCTTTAGAGTATCCTATATGGTACTGATTGGTTAGTAAAAGTGTCCCCCCTACTCTTGTGGCCAATTACTACTTTGAAAGTTTTCAGAAAATTTTATGCATATGTTAGAATTCTCAGTCTTCCTTATATCAGCCCATTCTGATATTTTTAAAATTCAATGTATTACTTGACAAAGGTGTTAGCTAATGCTACTGCAGTAATCCTATTGCAACATATAACCAACATGTATCAAACCAACAGGTTATAGATCTCAAACTTACAAAATATTACATAAATTATATCTCAATTTTTAAAAATTCAACATATTACTGTTTGAGGGAGGAAAATGGGGCAAAGAGTAAGAATATTATATAATAAATCTACTCTTTAAATTAACAGCTTCAGAAAATTGCCTTGACAGGGGGATTATACCTGGTGGTATTTAATTAGATAATTTAAATATTATTCTTTTTCCATTATCCTAAGAAGAAAGGAGAGGCAAAAAATATACTCTAATTTGAAAGGGCAATGATTTCCTTAAATTTCATTAAATACCAAGTTACTATATAAAGCTGAATATATTTGATACTCTAAAAATTGAACTATCTGGGAAGAGTCAACTTCAAACCCCAGCTGTCAATTATCAAGTCAAGACTAAAAGAAATACTGCTTTCCTTATCTTTCGAAAGAAGGTAGAAAAAAATACTTTTGGAGGACTACTTAAATCACCAGCCAAAAAAGGAAAGAGAATGAAACTTCTATTAAGGTCAATGGCTAAAATTTTGGTTTTAGCAAAGATGCATCTCCACTGGGAGTGGGGAGAGAATAGGGTGGACAAAGGTTGTTAGAAAGGTAATAAAGAACCAGCAGCTATTTGCCCCTCTCTGAAGAATCCCTGAAGTCAGCTGGTTATTTGGAGAAATTGAGAGCAACTAAAAGGGTCATACAGGTAGACAGGGCAGAACGCAAGGTAATGTTAACTGAATACTTACTCTGTGGCAGGCACTATGCTAAGCACCTTATTGTTCATAATTTCATTTAATCACTTATATAACCCTGGGAGATCGGTATCGTTAGCTCCACCTAACGAATGGAGAAACTGAGACAAAGACAGGCCAACTAAGATGAGCACGGTGATACAGGAAGGGTGAACTAAGAAGCCGAACATCTGAACCCCAATGTCAAACTGTCTCTGTGCCGCCACTTCCGTAACTCAGTACAGTGCTGGATACCCCCCAGGCTGACATCTCTCACAGCAGCACAGAAGTGACTCCACTCTTAGATCCACTCTTAGTCCCATCTGAATACAACTTTAGAGATCAAGTAAACAAATCCAATCGCCAAACGAGTTGTATTTTATTTCATATTCATCAGCTGTAATCTGATCCAGGACCTGCCCTCTTAAAAAACAACACAAAATAAAACAAAAACCTGCCCTTGCCCACAAGGAAGACTTTTAGTGGATGAAAACAACTCAAAAGGTAACTCTCAGAATACTCTGGAAAGCTGCTGGGTGGCATCTATAAACCTTAGTGCACACACGTGCTGACCCAGCAATTCCAAAAAGTGTGTATGTATGCTCACCACACAGGTTCAAGGCTAACGGCAGCTCTACGCACACTGGCCCTCATCTAGAAGCGACCCAGAGGCCCGCTGGTTGCGGTGTACTCAGGGTGGAGCAAGCAAAGCGCACCCGCCCATGGCAACGGGACGAATCTCAGACAAGTAAGGGGACTGAGAAAGCCAGGCCACAAAGGGGCCCTACGGCATGACTCCATTCATATGAAGCTCAAAAACAGTCAAAGTAACCTCCCGAGTTCAAGGTCAGGGCAGTGATTACTCTGTGGAGGGGCAATGACGTGGAGGTGGAGAAGGGAAGGAGAGCTCTGAGCAGCTTTTGAAACAGTAACCCTTTTCCACCTGAGTATTCCCTAGCCGCCCACCCGCACCGAAGCCTAGTTCACAACTGTCAGGGTTTTAATTGTTCCCTTAAGACTAGAGAGTATGACCGAAAACCATAAATGGGTGATTCTATTTACGACGAGGTTACCATTTCTTCTTTTAGAATATTTTATTACGTGTAAAGGAATAGCTTTGGGATAAATATTTTATTAACTACAAGAAGGAAATGGGCAAAGAAAAAACACAGACAGGCAGGAAACAAAAGTTTATCTAAAAACTTCCTTTGCAAAATAATACTCTGACAAAGATGAGTGAGTGGAAAGAACGAATATCCTGAAGCATACTCTAATACTGTTCCCAATAAAGCTTACTTTAAAAAGCTACTTTGCTCTGCTAAGGTTTGTTACTTATTTCCCTGGTTAACATAATGTGATTACAACCTACTCTGTGTTTTGGAGCTAAGCCATGCAACTTCCTAAAACGGCTACAGAGCACCAGGTTAAGAGAAGGGAAAGTGACATTTATCCACGATGCTCTTATTAATTTTAATGAGCATTAAGGTCTTTTAAACACTGTGATTATGAATTATGGTTGACAAGTGATAAGGCAGCTTATAAATTTGCTTTTCTTTTACTTACTATAAATGTTTCTAATTTTTCTTAGCAACTGACATTAGAAATTCAAGTATTTTCAAGATGAAATTTCCTAAAAAACTATATATCTGATTCCAGAAGACCTGTAGATGGTGCTCCAATAGAAAGTCAGAATTCCAGTGATCACACCATTTTGACTTTGAATAAGACTTTAGCTCCAAATTCTGCAGGCTTCCTTTAGCTTAAATTTAGATAGGCATTTTAGAAACAGTTTGCAAGTAAAACAAGCAGAATTAATGTGTTATCAATCACGCTGTCTAGCTGTTATACATTCAGAATTTAGGAACTTATTCTGTGAGCTCTGCAAGTCACTCAACCCTTCTTTATCAAAATATGTTGCAAATGTCTAAACATCTTACATGTCTACGAAATGCTCTGCACCTTCGAATACTGTGACACACCAACTAGAACCTCTGAAGAGCAAAACCCAGCTATGCTCGCACCCGAAACAGCCCCTGCCGACGTAGGCTGAAAAATAACAGTGATGCTTTGTGCAGCTGATTCATTTTACCCTTTCAAATCTTTCTTTCATAATTAAGTTTCTAGCTCCTAGGGTGATTAAAATACACTTTTCTTTCAAGAAAGAGGAAACTTTATGTAAGAAAAGTAATATAGTAATACAAAACTGCCTAGGTTATATTACGCTTATACTTTTGACTCCAGCTTTAAATTTAAGACAGCTGTATTTTCACACACATTTGTATTTGCAATTAAAAAAGTACTTCTCATCCAGCAACTTTCTATCACTGCTAAGACCATCAGACATCTGATGGTCAGGACAGGTGGTATGTATGTGTAATATTGCTTATTTCTTTAAGAGAGTAAAGTGAATAAATGTAGTCATCTAAGAAATGAACAATAATAAAAGAAATACTATAGGTACCTAAGAAATTGTGCAATCTAAGTTTCTGAAATATTCTACTGTCTAAAAATATAATTATATGATGTAGAAACTTTATCACTTCTCTTTTATCTCAATGGAGTCTCAAACATCATATACAAAGAGATATGAATTAAGGATTTAATTATTATAAAATTTTCATTTATAGTCACTCTTGGAGTATAATTGCATTACTATTAAAAACACCTGATTCTAAATCATTTATTTAACTTTAAAGGTCCTTTATATAAGTAATCCATTATTATACATATATGGATTTATTATGAATTTAATTATACAAATTTAATTACCTCATTTTACTTTGTAGGAATTATATATGCCTTAATGTTCTCATTTCTCACAAATAACAAAATTTCAATGAAAATAGTCTTTACTAAAAATTCAAATAGAATGTTTTGGTCAGTATTTCTAGCTTAATGTCACAGAAAAAAATGAAGACAAGTGAAACCATTTTGAGTAGAAACAATTTCCCCTTTGGCTTAGGTATGAGAGAGTCACTCTACCTCACAGAGCAGTAAGTCAATGATGTGGAAGACCATGCAGAGCGGGAACTTGGCGGTGAACAGGGTGAGGAACCACTGGGAAGCGTACATGTGGGCCTCCAGGTTCAGGTCACAAAAATGGCTGTGCAGGTCCGGTAACTGCTCCTGAAGTCAAAGGGGAAAGTTTAGCGGATGGAAGGTGAAAGAAGCTTTATTTCCTGCCACCACTGCCATTTATGACAAGCATCCTGTGAACACTCTTCATTTTATGGCAGCATTCACTGAATTGTATATAACTACGCAGAAGTGATGGTGGGAGGTGAGAATTAGGGACATGACAGATCACCAAGGAAAAGAAAGAGATTTGTTAGGAACAAATAACAAAGCTCATCTCCTGCTCACTGGACTGGTCTTGTTTCTGGGGAGATGCTCAGATGACCCACCTGCCTCCTAAGAAATATCACGACTCCAGGATCAAGTGACAGCACCCCCATTCGGGATTTAACTCCCAACTAGCTAGGAAAGAGATGTACTTGATGCCAACATCATCTGGGTTTTATGATATTACTTCAGTATATTTTTTGGCACTTAGAAAATGCCGAACATAACCAAGGTCTTAAAAACCTATCTTCGAGATCTTAAAAAAATGGCAAAATACAGAAATGGCAAGTGCACAGTGTGTGAAATTGAGTGTCTCCTTAAAATGCCTTTATGCTGCTTTACCTGTTTGCCCAAGCTATACTAGTAAATTCATTTCAAACGTGTGGAAGGCAAAGTACACAGCATTAGCACAGTATTCCCAGAACTGAAGGGCAAAGGCAGAGATATGCAAAAGCTCATTTTTGTTTTGTTTTCATAAACAGACCACAAAAACAAAAAACCAATTCTTGTGCAAGCTGCTCTTTGAAAAACATCCAAATGTGCCCATCTAGTCCTTTAACTGGGGCATCCAATGGTCATCCAGTTAACAGACAAAAAGCGCTAACAGAAAGATGTGTTTGGGTTTCTTCACAGTTCTGCAAACTTGCTATTCATTTATCAGATACAGGTATTTGACTCTCCAAGCACGTAGGAGTCGTGACCTTTGAAAAAAAATATAAGCTGAAGCCTGGCCGGGCGTGGCTCAGCGGTTGAGCGTCGACCTAGGATCCAGGCGATCAGGGTTCGATTCCCGGTCAGGGCACATGCCTGGGTTGTGGGCTCGATCAATGACTCTCTCATTATTGATGTTTCTCTCTCTCTCTCTCCCTCTCCTTTCCTGTCTCTGAAATCAATAAAGATATACATATCTTTATTGATATATATATAAGCTGAAAGGTGAAAAGTGAGTAATCCCAAACAAGCTCTCACTTGGAAGATGAAATCTCTGAAAAAGAGCCTGTAGTTTTTCATGCCCATGGTTACCAGATCCTTCTGCATTCTTTCTTCCCTCAACGCCCATTTGGCATTGCGCTTACAGCTTATTTGACATCCTCCCACCTTTACTTCTTCTTCACATTTAAGATCTTCCACCCGCCTCTGTTCCCTTCTCCTAGTAAAGCTGCCCTTCACCTCACAGCAAACTGTCCATCTTCCACTCCTGTCCTTTAAATCGTCTGATCTCCGGACAGGTCACGTCAATGAGCTCCTGCCAGTATCTTCTACTGCCACATCCCACTAACCTTCCTGCCCAATCATTGCACTTTTCTCCAATATGGAATCAATCCTTCCACATATTTTTCACATTTCTCTTGGGTTCCCAATACCTCATATAGAGAATGCATAGGTCCATTATAAATGTAAGATTTCTAATCTCAGGTGAAATTTCAAAGCTACTCATTAATTCTTTTTATCAGCACTAGTCAATAATTTTGCCCCTACAATCTTTTTTTTTATGTATATTTGACATATATATGTTTCTCACCTATATAAATGTATATATACATATTATAAAATAGTAATAACTCTGAGATCAAGAAATTATGTGGAAAAATTTTTTCAATTTTTATTGAATTTATAGGGGTGATGTTGGTTGATAAAATTATATAGATTTCAGATGAACAATTCTATAATGCATCACCTGTGTATTGTATTGTGTGCTCACCATCCGAAGTCGAGTCTCCTTCTGTCACCATTTATCCCCCTTGGCCCTCTCCTACCTCCTCCACTCCCTTCCCCCGTAATCACCATGCTGCTGTCTGTCTACAAGGCTTTTTCCCTTAATGCCTCTACCTTATGTGGGAAAATTTAAAGTATGTCCCCACATTACAACATTCCAAGTGTTTTTATTCTCCTATCAATATCTTTCTATTTTTTCTAATTCTTTCCTTTATGTGGAGCTAAATGTGGTACTGGAACTGGTGCTAATTAATTCAGAGAAAAACTCTTAAGTGTTTCTATTTTTATTCTGTAAACATCTTCATTTCTTTACAAATAATACCCAACAATCTCTTTATTGACTTAACTTACTATATTCTCATTCAAAGTGTATTAAAAGTTGACTATTTACAAAGGAAGACAATTTTAAAATTGGTAAAATGGTTAAACAAATATTTTATAATATCAAAACCAATGTACATATTGGTCAGAAATCAAATCCATTTGCATTTTCTGTAGAATTCCATTAAATTTTCATAAATTATGATTGTTCATCAATTTTATTAGGCTTTTTCTATAACTCAACCAATCCCTGAGAGATAAAAGTTCCGAACTTTCACTTACCTGCATTAGTCTCTCCAACTGATAAAATTTGCAATGAAGATCTTCAAAGTTGTTTTTGTAGAGGTCTCGTAAACCATAGTCATACATGATTTTCACCAAAACACAGAATGCTTGTTCCTCTGGCATCTACAGAAAAACATATAAACACAGAGCATCACTGAGTGGCATCTGGCCAGAATGTCAGAAAATTTCCTTCATGTTTTTAGTTTTCTACATTAACGGCTGCAGTGTTATGGTAAAATCTGTGTTCAAAGCTTATGGCTTCCTTACTTGAGGTGAATTTCCCTCTTTTGTTAATTTTAATCATCATTCATTCATTCATTCATTCACTAAGTCATCTTAAAAATAGGTAATAGAGTCATGTTTTGATTAAAAAATCAAAACAATGTAAAAGTATATGAAGGTAAAAGTCTCACTCCTCTCTATGCCCAGGACACTAATCCCTGTGTCTACCCTCACCTCTTTTGCACAACTTTGTAAGTACTCTCAATAATTCCTCATGTATCCTGCAAGTGTTTCTCTATGCAAGTAAAATAGCTATGTTTCTTATTTTATTTTTTCCCTTTTCTACATAAAAGATAGCTTGCTTTTTCCCTCAATAATATTCCCAAAGAGGGATTGCTGGGTCAAAGGATAAATGCATTTTTAGTTTGGGTAGATAGTGCGATACTGTCCTCCCAGAATCTTCTTGATGTTGCTATTTTTCTTTCTATAAAAAACAGTTTTCCAGAAAGAATCTTGTGCTTCTACCATTAAGATTTAAATGACCAATAAAATCTAATATACCCTCCCAGAGGTATTTTTTATGAACAGAGAATGAAGTCTGAAATCAAAGAAACAATCTCTAAATTGTGGTGGGATTGAGAAGTACAGATTGGTAGTTACCAAATGCACATGGGGATGTAAAGTACAGCATAGGGAATACAGTCAGTAATATTGTAATAACTATGTATGGTGCCAGGTGGGTACTGGAAATAGCAGGGGAAACACTTTGTAAAGTATTCAATTGTCTAACCACTATGCTGTATATCTGAAACTAATACAAAATAATACTGAATGTAAATTGTAATTTTAAAATATTTTAAAATTTATTTTAATTAAATGAAAAGTGCAGATGCCCCATGGGACATCTATAAGAACCTAATAGGTCTGTGACTTCTGAGTTTTAGGCTGTAGAAATGAAAAAAATACAATGGGATTAACAAAAAGAAAGAAAGATATTTGACAATGTTCCAGTTTCCCCCACTGCATTTACCTAAATGACTGCCTGAGAATCTATCTTCTGATCTTATAAGCCCACTCCTGCCTCACCACTGGGGCTCCATGTTATCTGGTCCCCCAAATAACCACAGAGAAGCTCTTGTGCAAAAAGTGGACACCAGAAGAGATATGTTTTTAAAAATATATATATATCTTTATTGATTTCAGAGAGAGGAAAGGAGAGGGAGAGAGAGAGAGATAGAAACATCAATGATGAGAGAGTCATTGATCGGCTGCAGCCCACAACCCCAGGCATGTGCCCTGACTGGAAATCGAACCCTGATCGCCTGGATCCTAGGTCTACGCTTAACCGCTGAGCCACACCCGGCCAGGCGAGATATGCAATTTTTAACCCTTATTTGCTTCAATTGCCTGTGTGGGAAAAGCCTTGATTTCAGTGCCTTGTTCTCAAGAACGTTATACCATGTGAAAAAGCAATGCCCTCTGGATGGTGTTATACAATCACAGCACAACGAATATAGAGATTTTCATTGTCTATTGCCCATTTGCTGAGAAGGCCAACTGGATTTGGTAACTTAAAAACAGTGTTCTCTATTTCAAATTAATTCAGTTAAAAAAGGCATTTTGAACAAGGAAAGAAATCTTAGTGTAGACTATTTCTAAAGAATGCAACTTCAGCCTGGCCAGGCGTGGCTCAGCGGTCGAGCGTCGACCTAGGATCCAGGCGATCAGGGTTCGATTCCCGGTCAGGGCACATGCCCGGGTTTCGGGCTGCAGCCGATCAATGACTCTCTCATCATTGATGTTTCTGTCTATCTCTCTCTCCGTTCCTCTCTCTGAAATTAATAAAAAAGGTATATTAAAAAAAAAAAAAGTTGTCAAAAAAAAATTAAAATGCAACTTCATTATTTTTAAAGAGTTTAAATCAAATGAGGGGATCTCAAAGAGCTGGCTTTAATGAATAGGTACTAATTTGCTATCAGCACATTAGGTAATAAGGGTTTCTGAGACTTTTGAGAATGTGTGAAAATGGTCTCGTTCTTTAAGTAATTTTAAGTATTCTTCCCACAATCTTAGCTATGATACTGTATCATAATGTGGAAAACTTATTTGAGAAAAGGAAAACCAGAGCTTAGACTCTGTTTAAATACTGCATTAAAAATTCTGAATTAGGAGAGTAAAACATAAATATGCATAACCCAAGGTCACAGACAATAGTGTGGTAAGGAGGGACTGGGGAGGGGGATGGGATGGGGTGGAATGGGTCACTAGGGAGAAAAAGGGACATCTTCAGTATTTTAAACAAAAA